TTGTTTATTGCTTTGTCCGTACAGTCATCAGATTCTACTTTTATAGTATGTTTTCATTTTCCAGAGAATACTGCTCTTCTTTGCACTGTTTCAGTTAATTTTTTAGTTTGCTCTTCAAGTTTTATTTATCATCCCACATTTGGACTTAAGTAAAAGTTCCTTGAATGTGTAGATTAATTTGTCAAGAAAGACTATTTTTTTTTTTCCTTTCAAACAATGATTGTTCATGTGTCCCTGCCTGACCTGGAATTCATGATCCTCTTGCCTTAGCCTCCTGAGTGCTGGGATTACAAGTATACACACAGGCTCCATTTCAGAGATACTGCTTTTAAAGCATTGTACCTGTGAATACCGAATATCCACATATTTAGGTAATGCTACATATGTAATCATGGATCATACTATATTGCAGTCACAGACACAAGAAAAGAGAATTTCATCTTAATACGATTAGGGGGTTTGTCTGCTTTTAAGTCATTGCTTTCTGCTTGTAAAATTGAGTTAGAGTAACTTCTTTCTTCTTGCTCTGCTGATCTTCACTTGATGTGCTATACACACCACCCTTTTCTTCCTTTTGAATCTTCATTTGTATCTTTTTGCTCACTTGTCCCCATCCTGGATGTACAGGGTTGGTAGAATTCCCAGCTTATGAGTCCATAGCCACTAGATTTATCTACAGTGTATTAGATTTGCATTCCTCAGTGTAGTTGGTTTTTATCTCTTCTTCCTGTTCATTTCCATTAAATTCACATCTCCTCATTTTTTTAAAATCTTGTATTTTCTGTGTCTATCTTTCAGGTTTTTGTTTTGTTTTGTTACTGTTATTGTTTCATTGAGATGTGAGCAGAGAAATTTTTGTTGTTGTTGTTGGTCATGGGGCTTGAACTCAAGGGCCTGAGTGCTGTCCCTGAGCTCTTTTGCTCTACCACTTTGAGCCACAGTCCCAGTTCTGATTTTCTGGTAGATAATTGGAGATAAGAGTCTCATAGACTTTCTTGCTTAGGCTGGCTCTGAACCATGATCCTCAGATCTCAGCCTCCTGAGCAGCTAGGATTATAGGTGTGAGCCACCAGTGTCCAGCTTCAGACAGAGAAATTTTGTATTCTTTAAACATTGCACTCAATTCTAGATATATATTTAGAAGAATAATTCTTTTAAAATAAATGGAATATTTGTTCCAAGAACATAGAGCTCTTATCATATGATTGCACAGTGGCACTACCTAAGATTATATCATCACTGGACATAATAAGAAGAATATTAAAAATCACTGGACAGACTGATTTGATCTTCTGATCAATGAAAGCAATAATGCTATAGAAGAGTATTTCTGCTAATGACTGTCTTAATAACAGAAAGATTAAACACACAAGGGAAGATGGGTACAATATTCCAGCAGAGAATATAAGACAAGTAGAAAAAAGTGGAGGCAAACAAAGTGTCAATTTCTTTTTCTCTCTAAGAATCACAAGAACCAAGGAAATACTCCTGTACACTTGAGCATTCTCTATGACTTCCTTGTAACATGTTGGGTTTCTTATAGGATTCCTTTTGCCTACTATGCCTTCCCAGGCCCCTATTTTACAACTAGTGCTCTCTCTCCTTTGGCTTCTCATTTCCTAAGCAGTCATATTTTTATTGTGTGTGAATATGAACACATGTGGTATTCATGATTCTCCTGCTCCTGATTAGAATGGGTTCATTATTCATTATTTGCAGCTGTATTGTTCAAATCTGATGGACTGATCTTGGTTGGTTGCTATATAGCTTTTGAATTTCCAAGCCTGGGATTTAGTGCCCTGTGGGAAACACAGAGATTCCCCTCTGTGAGGAACAGAGTTTGGGTACGTTTGCAGCCGAGGCTCTGAATGTGTGTTACTTCATTAGAGACAGAGTAAAGTATTCAAGGATCTGAGTCCTGGACTCTGTGGTCCAGCCAGTGACTATAGATTGTCTGATTTGAAGTATATTATCTTTACTAAGGTTTATGAAAAGAAACTGCATCAGATACATTCAGAGTATATCGTAATATTTAACAAAATTAGCTTTGGGATCCTAACTTAGGTTTGTGTTTCACTATAACTTTGGTCAAGATTTTGTGTTTTTTGTTTGTTTGTTTTGGTCAGTTGTGGGTCTAAACCATGGGCCTAGGTGCTGTGGCTCTTCACCTCAAGGCTAGTGCTCTACCAATTGAGCCAGAATGCCACTTCCAGTTTTCTGAGTGTTTTATTGGAGATGAGAGTTTCACAGACATTCTTGTCTGGACTGGCTTTGAACCATGATCCTCAGATCTCAGCCTCCCAAGTAGCTAGGTGTGAGCCACGAGTGCCTGGCTTTGGTCAAGATTTTGAATCTATGTGTTAAACCCTCTTTTATAGCAAGGTTAATGAGACTGTTCTCATAGGATCATTGAAAGATACTGAGATAACATTGGCATTACAAGGAACACAATGCCTGCCATCTGGTAAAAAGATCAGTGCAGGATAGTTATCTCTTCTTGATGTAGGGGAATGCAGAAATGCTCCCTCAAAACTTTATACTGGTACTGTTGGTCAGTGATGCTCTTACTATTAACTGAATTCCTGGGATTTGTTCTCAGTTGACTAATTCAAATGTCAGTCTTTGTGATTTCAAGTCTTGCTGTGCTGCAGTTGCCAAAATCATTAAGAGTGTTAAAGTCTTCTGATCAGGTGTTAAATTCACATTTATAAACCCATAAAAGGTGTCCAGAATGTTCAAATGAGTGTACAATTCCTTCTTCTGTCAGTGACAGGTACCTTCTATGATCCTTTTCCCCCTCTGACAAGATAGTTTTCTCTACCAAGGACTTTCCAAATGTTTCACATGATTCGAGTTCTCTTCTTAGACATCACATAGGTTGTTTCCCCCCTCCCACCCCCCAATCTCTAAAGGTTTCTTTTCAAATCCTGAGATGAAATTTGGCATACCAACTTCTCTCCTGTCTTCTGAAGCCAGCTTTTATGTTCTAAATAGAAAGTAAACAGTCACATTCTAGAAATCACAAGGAAGACCAAAAATAAGCTAGTGGGGGAGGCGAAGTTGAAAATACAGCATTTCAAGAGATAATCTGCATACAGTGTTCTTGACAGGCAAATGCTGGGCCTGCAGACGTGATCCTGGCCTGCCAGAAGCAGACAATAGGCTGGGTATGTAGGAGGATGAGCGGGCGTCCCAACTTCACTTGACATACTCTTGGAAAGGAGAGAACTTCTAAACATTAGTTAAATAGGTTGTTTTGCCTCATTTGTTAATATCACAAAAAAGATCTTGCTAACACATGTATCTTATTATATACACATAGAATTTGTATACATATAAATTATGTGTAGTACTAGGGATTAAACTCAAGACCTTACACATGCCAGGCAAGTGGTTTACTATAGTCCCGATGTGGCCTGCCCCCCTCCCCGACCTCCACCCCCCTGTTTATTCCTTTTGCTTTTAGTCGGTTTTGTGGATCGGATCTTACACTAACTTTGGCTAGGCTGGTTTCCAATGGAAATTCTTTTACCTCCATTTTCTATGTAACTGGGGGTACAGGCGTATGGTACTATGCCCTGATCACTTATTCCTTTCTAATCTAACAAGTTAGGAGTCTGGTCCTAGTTTAGAGAACACTGACTTCTTGATACACGTTGATAGTCTAGCAGATTTATATGTGTACATTCCTCTCGGGTCCACCTCTGAGGGACTTGACACTTTCCAGTGGGGGTTCTGGACATAGTCTTTTGAACAAAAGCAGATTTTTAAAAAATGCTCTTGTGATTAGGACATGGCACAGAGAAAAATCAATGCTCCTTTGTGGACAGATTCCAATTTTCTCATATGACCCTGGTCCCTATCCCTTCCAATGCGTTGAGGCTGGAGTTACCTGAGCAATTGCTCCAAGATAGCTCAGCTCTGTTGCCCCCAAGTCTGGTCTATGATTTGGCATTTGTAGCATCATCAGGGAGCTTGTCAAAAATGTAAGATCAGTGACATTCCAGACAGACTCAGAGCCTGCATTGTAAGAAGTGCCTGAGGAGATGGTGAGCTTGTTAACGTTCAAGCAGGAGTCCGTCCAAAAGCACATGGGCCTCGACAGGATAGCTGAGCTTTTATCTGTAACTCACATCCTGCTTGGTTTCCAAGAATCTTCGCTTTGTCTCCTCCATAAAATAATACTTGTTATCTTCTTTGACCAAACGCTGGTGAGTTGAGAAGACATAGACCGTAAAATGCCATTGGTGTCAATGTGGATCAAGGTCCACACTGAAAGCAGGCATTTGAAAAGAAGGATAACAATTGCATTGGAAACACTTTATTATCAGACAGAATTCATTAATTTTGCTTCAGAAGATAAGGCAGGTGTGAATAATTAACTTGGCTTCTGTTTCCAAAGGGAAGGAGACAAGTGGTCTCTACCAATCTGTGTTTTTCTTTCTTTCTTTTTTTTCTTGTTTTTTACAATTTGGTAAGATAAGTAAAAATAATGCAGTTGTCTTTCGCATGACATTATAATTCAGCAAAGTGTTTACATAAAAACAGAAGGGAAGTTTTGACAATATGTTTTATTCATGGCACAAGACTCACCAGAGAGGGTTTCCTGGCAGCACTGATTTTGGTTCAACAATCTGGAAGGACTTTTACCTTTTCTTTGAGTCAGGTTCAAGACATAGGTTGCTGTGTATTTGTGGCTTTGAGTTCTCTCTGTCCTATGATTCTAATTATCACCTGTCTCCATTATTATTTTGTGTCTATTTTGTGACCCCCATTAATAGATCAGCACTACCTCTTCGTAACTGTAAAAGCAATGTAAAGTACCATCACCAGTAGGTGAGTTAGACAAGGGAATATTATTATCAACAAAATGGTATGGCTTTTGGAGATGACACGTCTGAGATAGTATTGTGGGTAAGGCTGCCCTTTAGGATCACGGTATCTAGTGTTCTCTCCTTCATATTAACTGTTTGTTGTTACACCGTGTGTCTTTCTAATAGAAGAAACAAAAGCATGTGAAGACGATGAGATGGAAAAGCTCTACAAATCATTAGAGCAGGCTAGTCTATCTCCTCTTGGCGACCGGCGACCTTCCACCAAAAAGGAGTTGAGAAAGTCCTTTGTTAAACGCTGCAAAAATCCATCCATAAATGAGAAACTGCACAAAATCCGCACCCTGAATAGCACGTTAAAGGTAAGATGACTGCAGAGTATGGTTGGACTCTGTGCACGCGAGGAAAAGAAAGGTTGGTTCTGCCAATCGCAGTGATCACCGGTGGGTGGCGGGGAGGGCAGAGAACACAAATACAGTACAGGTGAGATGACCCTGGCATTTCTGAAGCACTAACATCCCCACAGAAGCGCCAGAGGCAGTTTTTCCTCGGTCAGCCTTGGTTTGACCTTCATACCCATATAAAATCTCAAATGGAAAGCTCCTGGGTGGCAAGGCCCATGTGCCTTTTGTTTGTGTCGGGCTTGTTCTGGCTCAATGTGTGTCGATTAGACACAGAGATCATCAATCAGTGATAAAAGGTGGTAAAACAAATAAAACCTTGAGTTTTCAGCTGGTTCATTTATTCCTCTGTGCTGCATTCAGGAGAAAATGTCTAGATTGCCAACTGTAGATACCACAGCCAAGGAACACCATGAGAGGCAGGCGGGGGGTGCGGGGGGGGGGGGGGAGGGGGCGGGAAGCATACATTGTGGTAATAGACTAGCAGATGCTTTCACAATGGAAAGAAGGGATGGCGTACAGGATGTACTGGAGCTATTTTCAGGGCCTCCCATCACTGAAATGGTTCTTTAGGACAAAAGTATTCTGGCTCACATTTAGATTCTAACATGACCAAGGGCAGGCCAGGATGCTTTGTAACATAGTCCCGAATTAGCAGAAGGTTTATACATTCTGAAAAGCCTTGATCGGTCTAGCTATTTAGTTCTGTTGTGTGCATGTCCTTTTGCAATAAGAACTGAAGTCATTTTCCAGGAAGAAATGTCAGCAATCTGAAAGGACAAGGGCACAAAGAGATGACAGAGTGGCCCTTGTTAGTCAGATGTATTTCCCAGTTGGTAAACAGAAGGCACGGATGCACACTGGAAGGCTGCAACAAGAAAGCCAAGAAGGAAAAAGGAAAAGTATCTTTTAATTATACCAAGATATTCCAAATACAAGAACTTCCCTCGCGTTTGATGGTGAAAAGATGTCACGAATTTCCAGCCCACAGTGTGTGCAGGGCTGGTTGGGAGGTGGGCTCATCCAGTGTAAGTTTGTCAGTGTATGTGAGGGTTTTGCTGTCTTGCTTGTTGCTGAGAGTTGATCGTGGTGAAATAGTGTTTAACCTCAAACCGCTGATTGCTGAGTTGCACTGGGGCCAGGCACTGTTGTGGGTCCCTGTACCCCCTGTGTGGGCCACCCTGGATACTGGAATAGTGACAATGGTGAGGAATACAAGCTCAACTCAGGCCAGGGGGAAGCCAGCGGCGGCAGCATGGGATTGAACTGACTACCTGTGGCCATTCCTGTTAAAACAGCACAGAGGCATTTGCCATGCACCAATGGGAAAGACATGGACACATGCGGAAGGGAAAATACTGGCCCTCAGGGAAGTAGATATCCTCCAGAGGCTACGACTCAGGGAGGCCAACATGTAGGAGCATGCACAGCCTCATCCATTTGTCAGAGAAAGAATATGGCCCCCAGACTCACCACAGAGCAAGCAGACCAAAGACCCAGACCTCAACAGAACAGTGACCTGACTGTGGAAGCAAAGGCTTTCCGGGCTCACGGGTTCCTGGGCCCTGTTATTCTCCATTGCGGTGCTCATATAGTGGATGAATTCAGTGACTTTTATACAGTTATCTACCACTAAGTAACCAGGAACCGACTTAAGAGAAGAGACAGGCATTGTTTCCGTTTCTGTCTGTGTGAGTCTCGTGCCTCTAGGTCTCCCGTGGAGGAGGGACTAGGGTGTCAGTGGGGCTTTGGTCCCTTCTCTACCACAGGAGTGTGCCTTTTGTGTTCACCTTGGTTTGGCACAGTGGGCAGATTCGGGAAGAACAGCATAGAGGCTGACAATGACTCTCTGGCCAGCTCTCCACTAGTTCTTGGGCATAGAACGTGGCTTCCTGACGAATAGCCTACCCCGTCTCTTAGGCTCGGTGTACGAATGTGCAGAACCGTTTTGACGCTTTCGTAATGACTGTGTGTATGTGCGTGTTTGTGAAAGGGTGGATAATGGTGGAGTTATGCAAATGAAGACACTCACGGCCCTCTCCTCTCTCTTTTCCAGTGTAAAGAACACGATCTGGCCATGATTAACCAGCTGCTGGACGATCCCAAATTGACAGCCAGGAAATACAGAGAATGGAAGGTGATGAACACCTTGCTGATCCAGGACATCTATCAGCAGCAGCAGACCCCGTCCGCCTCGGACAACACCTCTGAGGAGCTCCAGGAGCCGTCTTCCACCTGTGTGGAAAATTCTATCTGAGACAAAGCCAGGATTCTCCCCCTCTGACCTCTTACCTCGTCCGGCAAACAGCTCTACAAGATGCTGCATTTCCTCCTAGATGAAACCCAGTCTGTCCCTCACCGCCCCCCCTTCGGAGCTGCCCCTTAGGTGAAGACCATCCCCGAAGACAGCAGGGCTTCTTGTCCCAAGTCTGTCACCATGATCAAGACTGGGGTGTTGGTGGTCAGTTGACTAGACTGGTTTCTGTGTTCTACCCGGGGCTCACATCAAGGGGGATGCCGGATGGCACCTGAGTAATGTGTCCTCTGTCCTGGCTTTTGAGAAAATGACAACTTACCACAGACAAGAGATCCGGTGTCATTGGTGATCATGACTCACAGACACACCCTGTGTTCCAAAAGAAGCATGCTAGTGGGTCCTCACTCTGATGACAGTGCCATTCTCCAAGGGACATTTCCAGTGCAGGAATGTTCTCTGTAGAAGTAGGTGGGACAAGATACACGTTGCATCATGGACTAGAAATGTCTCACCTCTTGTGTGAGTAAAGTATGGATCCTTTGTCAGTGGAGAAATTCTTTATGGAGGCTCAGGCCGGGGCATGCTGTAGACTCAACTCAAGAGTCATGTTGATATTTTCCCTTTTCCCAGGTGGAAGACTGTGAGTAATGTTGCTTTTCTTCAGAGCAACCCAGAACAAAGACTCTTATTATAGTTGAAGGCCTCTACTCCCGGCTAACTTCCACAAATAGCTGGCACTCAGCCCGACCAGGAAGACCAGGCTGATGTTGTCTTGGGCTCTGGCGCCTGTCACACGATATGAATTCATACCCAGTTTTCCTGGGATCAACATGGAGAGATGATTCTGGCTTCAGCGTTATTTCTACCTGGGGAAGGGGGAGGAGAGGGGATGCGCACAAATGAACCAAACAACATCAACAATGGAGTTAAATAGGATTGTTTTATTTTTGTATGTTTATGTGTTCCACTGTGTGTTATGTGGACAGCAATCTATGTTTCTTATTTAAATATATTTATAGAAGTTCCAATTATAGTGTTCTCAAAGATGATATACTATTATATGGTTGGTTTGGTAATATAAATTCTGGAAGTATATATACTTTTTGCCTGAGAGAAGTAAGCATAGTATTGATGTACGAGAATTATGTTGCACTATATGCTGTCAGGAATGCTCAGGAAATCCTGTGGGGAAAATATGGAGCATGTGTTGATCATTTCGTCTCTCCAGCTTGCTTGCTCTTTCTCTCTCTTTCTCTTTTTCTCTCTCACTTTCCTCTTCTCCCTCCTTCTCAATCTCTCCAGATCCTGCCCTTAAGTTTTTCTATCCTAAGCCAGCCTCTTAACTAAACCTAAAGCTTTACGACACTTACATCCATAAACTCTAGACCAAATGAAACACAAAATTTAATACAATCTCCTTGCTAAAGAGTATGGGTTTGGGGGTTTGTTATTAAAGCTTGCTCAAAGAAAACCAACTCCGTTTGTCTTCATAGCTTAGCACAATGAAGCTTTCTCATCATGAGAAGAACCATGACCCACCAGGGCCACGGGCCCTCCCTGCCCTCGGAAAGTTGTTGACATGACACACCTCACTATGTCATAACTCTGCAGTTGTGGCTTGCCATTCATGTGGAAATAACCACCCCGTTTGCATCTGTGCATGCAGCGGAAATAGTGGCTGAGTGTTTTCTCCAGCCTAAAATGTCTTCAGTCTCTGTAAACAAGGGTTAAGAAAGAACACAATAGAAAATCCAGAAGGCAGGTTGAAGGAGCTCCAAACATTTTTGATCGGGGGAATTTACTGGTATATTTACTTTGGCCTGTTTTTTTTTATTAATACGAATTTAATTGACCTTTTACCACCCTCATTACAATTCAAATTTAATGTGAAAAACGCCCACTGGGTCCTTTTTCCTCCTTTGTAAATAAATGCTTTCATTAGCTTGAGCTAGGAAGCAGGGATTGCTGACCTGTGGCCTGTGCTCAGGGGCAGAAGGGGAAGGAGGAAAGTGACAGGAAGAGCGGGTGGCGCGTAGGATCCCTGGCGATTTCTGTCTTGGTCTCAAGTCACTTTTCTGGTCTGAGAAAAGTGGGGAAAAGCAATAGATACTGTGCTGTCATGTGTGTCCCCGAAATGGATGTTGGGGTGAAAGGAGAGACCCCTGTACTGGAGGAAGGTGTCCTGTGAAGACCCAGAGCCAGGCTGCCCAGTAAGCAGCCGAGGATCACTGTGCTTCAGCCCCTCCAGACTTCCAGCACTCGCTACAGCCATCAGAACTGTGGCCTTGGACTCTGGGTTTGTGGAAGCGACCTCTCTGGCTGCCCGAGCCTGTAGACCCAGAGGGAGCCTCCTAGGAGACCCGCACCCCTGCTGCCCTGAAAACAAACGCGGAATCCCACATCCTTCTTGCATTTGAGGTGATTCTGTCCCTTTGAGGAATGGCTGCAGTGGCTCAAAGCTCAGAATCCAAGTCCTGGAGAGAATCCTAACTCACACACTCCACCCGAGGATTACGGCTGGAGTTAGATTTCAGGGTGAATGCACGCACGCCTTGCACGCACAGCACTTTGGCCTTTGCAGCCCAGCCCTGACCCTGCCCGCTGCCCCATGGCACTGGGTGACCGGGGTCAGCACTGAGGCTTCTATCAAGTACCTTGGCCAAGGCCCCACCTCAGAGAGCCAGGTGTAAGGGGGAACCTCAGGCCTCTCAGACCCTTGCAGCCTTGCCTCTTTTTTGGCAGAATCCGCAATGCCCCAGTCCTGAGGTGACAGTTGGTCTAAGCTGGGTGCTGTGCTCTGTGTCCAGGGAAAGGACTGACCGGGACCCTGCTGGCCTTGGTGGCTCTCTGCTCAGCCTTCCATGGGAAATCGGAGGGAGCTTCTGGGTTTTCTGGGAACCAAGACCTGACCTGGTCTTTTTCCCTCTGTAAATTGTACCACTGGTTAGTACTGTGAAGCCTTCAGATGAATGACCATCTATGAATGGTGATAGATTTGGACAAATGGAAAGTGCCCGTTCCTCACCCCCCGGAAGCACATCAAGTCATAAATCAGAGACCCAGGTTAGTGATTAAGGGTCAGTGCTCTCATCTTCCTTTCTCAGTCTCCTGGGGGAGGGGGACTTCAAATCGCAAGCTATAATGGACCTGAAACTGACTGAAAGGAAAATATTTTGTAAGTTTTTTACAGAGAGGTGCTATGCTGACGAAAGCCATATTTAAATTTCAGTCAGATTCTTGGTAAGGAAGAGTGACTGTATTTTGCTCTCCCGACACCAACGGCTTTAGTGAGTCAGTTAGGTGAGAGCCAAATGTCATTTTATCTTGAAAGCTGCTGTGACAAGGGAAAGTTGTAGGATGTCTGTCTTCTTTGGTGTAGCAGAATGTGTCACATGACAGAGATTTTCCAATGTCTTTCCTTTGTGATATTTTTGTATACTTACCCACACGAGAAATCAAGTCCTAGAAATAGGAAGCAAGTACTTGCCTAAGATTTTATCCCCCATAATTGACAAGAAAAGCCCTTTAAACTAGATATTTTGCAAACCACATGAAGTGGTAGTGATTATAATAGACCTCCTAGGATGAGACCTCGAACAGCCACAAGCTTTTCTGTGCTGAGACAGGAAATGATTTCTTTGCCTCTTACAGACATCTTGAACTCTTTCCCATATGACCACAATACCACACAGAAAGCATCACAGAGTTCAACCTGAAAAAAAGTTCACATTTCTCTTGATATTTCAGAACTTCATTGCTCTGCATTGACATTTCTTTACCTTGAACCCAAAGGGAAGCATGTACCATGGAGATATTGAACACCCTATAATAAAAACTAGCATTTGCAAGCACCACATATTGTAATCTCTGAGCATGACAGGGATTTGACTTGTAACGCTGCATGGTGTCTGGGGGCAAGATGTACATGTGAAACTAATACCTTAAATTTCATTGTGCTTTTGTTCTTCATTGTCATAGTTGTCGTTGACTCTTTTTGGCTAACTAAACTGATTTAAAAAAAAAAAAAAGGCATGGTTCATTTCTCCTGCTTTATGGTTTTGCGATTGACTTGTAAGGAATAAAAACAAATGAAAATGTATGTAGTACAGTAACGTGGGGAAAAAATTGGAAACATATTACTGGTGTTCAATTGTCTGCCTTGCACAGTTTCTTCCTTAAAGAAAAACAAAAATAAAACAAAATTCTGTAGCTGGGAGGTGCTTAATGGCTGCACTTTGATCTTCTACAAGGGTTCTTGCGCCCTCTGGTGGCTATCTTGAGAATAATTGATTCCAGAAACTTAATTGAAGATAAAACACCTAATTATGTTGGGGGCATCAATGGCAGCAACAGCCGCTGTGGTCTTCAGCGTCTCTTGGCTTACAGGTTTATTTAGATTTATTTAGGTTTATTTATTTAGTATTATATTAGATTTTTTTCAAAATTTCCCAGTGGTCCACAAAATTTAATTTATATCTCTTAGTACCTCTTATCTTTTTTTTTTTTTTTCCCCTTGGAATAAAGGAAACGCAGACTCTCAAAGTCCAGGCTGACAGGTAGAGTCTTATAACCCCAGGTGATTAAATTGCAACTTCTGATATCCACTTTCCCCATTATTCCTAGAGAACTGCATACCTTTAAAACATTCTTGACACGTATGAAGAAATTTTTTTGTTTTGTTTTGTTTTTGTTTTGTACCTCTTATCTTTATGGGCTAACCCCATTCATTTTATTGAGAGATGTTAAAAGAATTTAAAAGAATTGTGACATGAAAGATACAACCAATGACACATACATTTATTAAAACACCTACAATATTTTTAAGGAAAATGAACAAAGAAAATATACAAATAGAAGAGCAGATTGTTTCCAGGCCTCCTGTGGTGTACAGAAATGAAGAATTTTTTCCTACTTCTCTCCCAGTTTTTCTCCTACCAGCTGAGCTGCATCTTCTTTTTCTCCTTTATCTAGCCTCTACCAAGTATTTCTCTCTCTCTCTTACTCTCTCTATCCCCTCTTCTTTCCTTCCTTCCTTCTTTCTTTTTTTTAAAAAACCACTCTTTTTGTCTTAGGCCTGTAAATTTCCCTGATTGCACTTTTCAGAGACCATGATGATATTCTGCAAGTTTCTTTCCTCACTTGCTCTCCTTGCTGCCTAACCTGCCAGTACGGTCAGCTTCAGCGCTAGCGTTAATAAGGTCAGTCTCAGCATGATGTAACTGGGGAAGTGGCAGTTTGGCTGAAAGAGGGAAGCATTGGCACACACTTGCAAAATGGAATTGGCCAGCTGACAGGAAGCCAGGACACAACACCTGGAGGGAGATCCCGAAGGAACAGGTTGACCAAGGAGTATGAGCAGAATACCAGGCTAGATAGAGCACGTCACACCAGGCTTCAGATACGGATGTCCTATCAGGAGTCCAGAAAGACAGGCCTAAAACGCTCCCAAGATGGCGCTCCTTTGGAGCCTGGCAAAAAAGCATGGCCTCACATTCTACAAAGTAGAGACGTTAGAACCGACAAGGGATGCTATGGAGGAGGGATCCACAGGCTGAGAGAAGTAGGCAAAAGGCTCCTCAAAGGAGAATCAGAAGCGCACCAGTTGAAGACGCGTTGTAGGACTCCCCCAAGATGCCATCAAGGCAATGGGAATGGGAGGGTGAGGCGGCCGCCAGCCTCATTGGAGGCTTCCGGCGCTGTTCTCTGGAGGCTGTGCTTGCCAGTGGAAGACACCACCAAGGAAGAGAAACTCTTTCCCAGCAAGGGGGATGAGGGACTTCTGGCACACTAGCGGCCAGGGAGCAGCACTTAGAGAGTCAGAAGTCAGGTGGTGGACAGAGAATCGCTGTCTCGGGTAAGGTTTGAATGGCAAGGGTGCCGGCCATTCAGCTTTTGGGAAATGATAAGAGCTCATGATCTTCTAGAGATAAGACACCTAGGAGCCAAGAAACATTACACGATATTCTTGGGATCTCCCAGAAAGTTTTCAGAGTAGGACATGCAGAAAACCGAAGTCAGCTTCTTCAAGAGAGAGTCTACAATCCCATGATTGGTCTCTAGACCTCAGCCATAAGAAGAGGCGATCTCCCACAAGGAACGGTTAAGCTACAGGCCATCATGTTCTCAGCCCTGCTCAATGCACCATTTCAACAAAGCTTCTTCTCCCTGGCTCTTTTTAGGTCGCCTGACCTGAGACTGTTGTCACGGCTGTATGTGTGTCTTTCATATATGGAGTCCTTTTGGTCCTATGTTATGGGAGGATAAGTTCAATATGCCCAGTAAGAATGGCACATTGAAGGCGATATATTTCTCCTGGTCAATAGTCTGTAAGCTCTGACAATGAAACCAGAATGCAAATTGCCTTTTGTTGCTTCATGTGTCATGTTAACTTAGGACCTAATCTCCTATGGAATATCAGATCACACAGCACATCCGGTGCACTGATTTTATGTCTTATGCATTAAAGGTGTCATTGCACACCTGAAAAACTTTGGTGGGAATGGAAGTGTTCACATTAGCGTCACAGATTAGTAACTGGAGTCGACTGTATGAAATCTCCTCTCCCACCTTCTTTATTTAGATGTCCAAATTAGGGCAATATCTTTCTCTCTAGTAAGACAGTGCTTTGCAGAGAGGCCCACTGAAATATTCCCTGATCACTAGGCCATTTTACCAAGGAAAATGCCATATGCTTTGTTTCTGGTATGATGCTTGTAGATCTTATGAATCAAGGTTCTTTTTTCCTTCTTATCTATGGATGCTTTAGTACTATTTGTTGAAAATTATTTCCTTCCATTGAATTGATTTCAACCTTTGTCATAAGTACGTCTGGTTTATTTGTCTGTCTATTTCTGGTTCTCTGTTCTGTACATTTGATCTCTATCTATGTCCCTTTGTACCACAGTTTGATTATAAATAAGTATTGAAATAGGGCAGATTGCTTCCTCCCACTTTCTTCCTCTTTTTCAGAATGCCTTAGCTATTTTTGTTCCTTGCCCTTTTGCGTAAAATTTAGAATAATCTCGTCTATGTATTATATCTTAGAAAAATCCTTGCTGTGAATCTAACAGGATTTGCATTGGGAGGACTAACATGTTTTAAACGTTGAATAGTTCAACCTACAAACCCTGTGGCATTATTTGGTAATCCCATGCCTAGAACAACCTGCCCAGTCAAAGGTGTCATGGTAACGTCTTTGTACAACTTCATAAAGATCATAAAAGTATAATTAAGAAAAAGTGGAGATCTGGGAAGGTGGCTCAGTGGTAGAGCGCTTGCCTTGCATGCATGAGGCCCTGGATTTGATTCCTCAGCACCACATAAGCAGAAAATAAAAGCTGGAAGTGACGCTGTGGCTCAAGTGGTAGAGTGCTAGCCTTGATCTAAAGAGCTGAGGGACAGCGCCCAGGCCCAGAGTTCAGGCCCCATGACCCCTCCCTCCCCCAAAAAAGAAAAAGTGGAAGCCAGGCTCTAGTGGCTCACACCTGTAATCCTAGCTACTTAGGAGGGTGAGATCTAAGGATTATGGTTTACAGCCAACCTGGACAGGAAAGTCCATGAGACTCTTATTTCCAGTAAGCCACTTAGAAAACCAGAAGTGGGGCTGTGGCTCAAGTGGTAGAGCACTTGCCTTGAGCTGAAAAGCTGAGGGATAGCGCCCAGGCCCAGAGTTCAAGCCCCATGACCAAAAGAAAAAAAGAAAAGAAAAGAAAAAGTGGATTATAGAAACTTGGCTGCTAAGTTCACAATAACCAGGGACTCAGAAGACTCAGAGAGAGGGTCTTGGTCTGAAAGAGTGGTGGTGGGGGCCGAGGAGAACCCAGAACGTGTGGACCAGGAGGAAGATGACTCTTTCCACTTAGGGAGATCTCTTGAGCTCCCCACACCGGTATTCCTCAATTTACCACGAATGAGTGTTGTACATGTCTGTTAGGTTAACCCGTAAGTATTTCATATTTCAGCGATTATAAATGGTATTGCATTTTTAATTTTGGGGGCCCCAGGTCCATTACAAGTATATAGAAATAAATATGGTTGATTTTTGTGCGTGCTTATTTTGACTCCTGTGATTTTCTTGTCCAAAAATGGTTTTCTTTTATTTTTTAAATAAAGATTTCTTGGGATTTTCTACACAATCATGTCATCTGAAAATGGATAAGGGTTTTTTTTTCCTTCTTCTCTGAGCTGTATGACTTTTTATTTTGCTGTGTAGAGTAGCAAGAGTGGCCTCCTTGGCCTTGCGCTCAGCCTCATTCTCAGCCTTTGCAAAAACATTCAGCTGTTCAGCAACTTGTGTTGTTTTTCAGTGGATGTTTATTATCAAGTTGAAGAATATCTGTTACCAAATTGACTTGTCCTTTGTCAGCGTGTGTAGGGTGAATGGGAGTTACATTTTGCCAAGTGAATTTTTTTGCGTTGATTAATAGAGTCATTATGTTTTCTTCTCTGACACAATGGCTTTTGGTTTATTTATTTATTTTTTTGGGGGGGTCTGGTCCTGGGGCCTGAACTCTGGGCCTGGGTGTGCTGTCCCTTGGCTCTTCAGATCAAAGCTAGTGCTCTACCACTTGAGCCACAGCGCCACTTCCAGCTTTTTTCTTTTTGCTTATGTGGTGCTGAGGAATCGAACCCAGGGCCTCAGGCATGCAAGGCAAGCGCTCTACCACTGAACCACCTTCCCAGCCCTGGTTTATTCTTGAATAGCAAACAAACCTCACATTTCTGGAATAAGCTCCTGTTCATCATTGTGTAATAATGCTTTTCATATACAGCTGAATTCCTTTTGTTAATACATTTCTATATCCATGAGGGTTACTGGTCCGTAAACTTACTTTCTGCTAATCTTTAGCTGGTTTTGTTATGAGTGTAACAGAAATGATAGAAAGCAAATTAGTAGTTTTCTCTTATTCTCTGGGAGAGATGTATGGAATTGGTGTTAACTCGTCTTTAAATAGGCAGTAGAATTGTCTAATAGTATTTTTTCGGGCATGAAGATAATTGGTTTTCTTTTCTTTCTTTTTTTTTATTTTGGGTCCGGTCATGGGCCTGAACTCTGGGCCTGGGCGCTGTCCCTCAGCTCTTCAGCTCAAGGCTAGCGCTCTACCACTTGAGCCACAGTGCCACTTCCGGCTTTTTTCTTTTTTTGCTTATGTGGTGTTGAGGAATCGAACCCAGGGCCTCAGGCATGCAAGGCAAGCGCTCTAC